AGGAGCCACTGCTCGTTTAATACGAGTGATCTAACGAGATCACTCGTATTAAAACCGAGCAGCGGCGACGATCGAGATCACCATAGAGCAGACGAAGAATAGACGTTCTTCGCCTGCTCTGTGTCATCACTGAGACCGTGGCGCTGTAATCACAGCGCCACCTGTGTCAGCGGTCACTAACTGCAGCTTCTGTCACAGCTTCTGTCATAGAAGCTGTGACAGAAGCTACAGTCTCGAGTGCTCCATAAGGCGCGCCGGACCTCCCTGCGTCCTATGGTCCGGTGCGTCTTATGGACCGCAAAATACGGTAAATGAAATAACAGCACAGAGTGTACAGTTACACCCGTACCGAGGCCCTGGCGGTAGTTCCGCCCCCGGACAGGGAGCCGCAGCAGATGGATGAAAGAGCCGCATGCGGCTCCGGAGCCACAGGTTACTGACCCCTGTCCTAGTACACCGCAGGTTTGGTAGATCTAAAGCTGATTTGTACGATCAGATTGTAGTGTGTATAGGGAACTAAAGGGAGATCCGTTTCCGATGATTTATACCAAATATAACACTGGAGGGAAATTTGACAAGGTCTCGGCTGTGATCAGGACTAAGGGTGCCCACACACCTTGCGATAATGGCGGGAAATCCCGCGATCGTACGATGATCGTAAGGTGTGTGGAAGCCGTGCGACCTCTACTACTGTACGGTCGCACGACTTTAAACTTACGAACATGTTCGAAAACCCGCCGAGCATGGCACGATGTTTGGCGGGTGTGTAGCATGTTCGTAAGATAAAAGCCGGACGGGTCGGTGTGCGCAAGCGCACACTGCCCGTTCGGCACTGGGGTCATCGGAAGCCCGCCCCTCGGGGGCGCGGCTTGCGATCATCACAAGTACGAGCTGCCCGTCCAAGATGGGCAGATCGTACGTTTTTTTTTAAGTACCTTACAACTATATATATAATCTCATTATTTGTCCGACATACTGAACACATGACTTCTGAACTAGAAATAAACGGTTGTAGCGTGTGCGGGCCGACCGAACTTCTCCACCTGAATGTGCCTTTTTGTTTTATTTTTCTGTTCTTGACTTTGTGGTGTAAAAGGGATTTGAGGAAGAAAGATTTTATTTTTTGATGATATGAATGTATTATATATATAGATTTATAACATGGAAATCAAATAAATGATATCAATCCTTCAGTCGTGGAGTCTGTTATTGAATGTACAACTCAAGCTGTGTGTGCATGTATATACTAATATATATAATGAGGGGAATTTATCAAAACAGGAGCAGATAAAATCTGGAGCAGCAGTGCATTCCAACCAATCAGCTTCTCTCTTTCATTTTCAAACCTTAAAGCCCTGTTCACATTGAGCGATTTATCGCGCGGTAATGCCCGCGATATCGCGGCAAATTACCGCGCGATATCGCGCTCCAATGCATTTCAATGGGGCAAAGGGTCCTGCTGTCGCGGGTCGTGTGTCGCTACAGCAGGACCCTTTTTTGGAGCGGATTTAGCCGCGATTCAAGCTTGCTCAATGCAAGCTTGAACGCGATATTGCGCGGCAAATCTCGCGATTTGCATATCGCGCAGTGGGAACGGGCCTTACTGAACAAACTGAAGAGAGAAGCTGTTTGGTTGCCATAGGCAACTGCTCTAAATTCTTCTGCTCCAGTGTTGACAAATTCCCCCTAATGTGTATTAGGGATGCACCGACACTGATACTAGTATTGGTGCCGATACCGAGTATTTGGGCCAGTACTCACCCAAAATGCTGTGATACTTAAACTTCCGGTAAAGGAGATCTCCCTCTGTCCAGCAGTGAGCATGACCCGCTGCCCGTTTTCCTGATTGGCTAGGAAGCCGGCTTCACTTGTTGCTAGGCAGCCTGGCTTTCCAACTAGTCAGGAAGCCAGGCAGCCTTGGCAAGAGAAGCAGCTTCCCAGGCAATCAGGAAGCCGGGTGGCGGGTCATGACCTTCCTGATAATCTGGGCCCACGGTAAAAACATGCTGATAGGGAGCAGGCCCAGCGCTACAGGGGGTTGGGGGCTCAAAAAATGCAACTTTGCCTGTGTAGGCAAAAATCCTAGCACCGGCCCTGCCCACGGATGCCGGTATCGGTGAGTACCGATAAAAAAATATTGGTACTCGATACCGAAAACCCGGTATCTGTGCATCCCTAATGTGTATGTATATGTGTGCGTAAAAATATATATATTGCAAAGAGAGAGTGCGAGCTACAGTTCCAGACTCACATCAGCCCTTCATCAGACAAGGAACACATCTGATTACAAAGCATCTGACACGGTAGTGAGTCCGGGTGCGATCATCTGCAGGTAATCAGCGTGCGCACATACACGTAACGAGCTTTGAACAGCTGCGGATGGTGACGTCTGTCATTGAAGGGAATTTATCAAAACTGGAGCTGACAGAATCTGGAGCAGTTGCCCATGCACCGTGCAGGGAATGGCGCTGCACTGAGTGTAACATGTGACCGCTTGTCATGGTGATACGCAGTATAAAGCATATTTTACCACGTTACTGCAATGTGATGGCGTGAATCGGCCCCGAGGGGTAAGTGCACTTTTGTGCCGAAATGTCCTCCTCGCCCCATTTATCACCTCCATCCCAGAGTTATAAGAAAGGTGAAACCAAGGAAGTGCATCTCCCCCACAATGTAGCCCCCCCTTCCTGTCACATGACAGAGTTTAGTGTGCTCCTTGTTTGTTATGATACTAAAAAAGGTGTGCATGCTCTGGCTGTGCTGTGTGTTACATCTGAACCATCCCTGTACATTGCCCTACCCTGTGCAATGACAGGTTCTCCTTCATGTCTATATGGGAAGGGCTGCCATGGCAGGCGATGTGGGGACCCCGGACAAGCAGGAAGTGATCGCCGCACATGGAATTCGCCTTTTATAGAGCAGAGTCACGTGA